CCAAGGTTAAGACTCCTGCAAGTTTTTTCCCAGAGGTCTTCACCACTAACTGTTGGCTAGGACTTCTGGGAGTTGTAGTCCAAGAACACCTGGGAACCCAAGACTGGGAACCACTGTTGTAGAGGATTCCTTTGGAAAACACACCAAGGGACTAGTTTGGATGCAACACAACATCATTAGAGGTACTGCATCCAAAGTCAGCTTCCAGTAAGAAAGAAGCAGCAAGAAGAAGAATGTATGGTATTTTTAAATGTGCAGCTTGATTCCATTCCTGCTTACCTATATACTTCTGTTCAATGGTACATATTCCTGCTAAGAACTGCAGCTTACATTGGTAAGTGATTATTGTCTCTTACAATTTCTCTGAATTATGAAAAATATTTTTGATGCTAAGGTGCTGAAGAAAGAAGTTGTTACATTTAGATTAGGCATCCTTCAGTCTCAAGAGACTACAGTAACGTGCTTTGAATAGAGGACTTGGAACAGCGTCTAGTGTGGCTGAAAAGACTAATTCAAGAGGGACAATCCCTTACACATTGAAGACAAATACTGTACAATCTGTCCCCTTTCTAGCTCCCTGATTTTGTTGGTTTCGTGACTGCCTCTTTGCCTCGGCCTGCTGGACAGGGGTCTCTTCAAATTGGGAGATGCCATGATGCACCGCCTGCCTCCAGGCTGAACACTTAGATATCAAAGTTTCCCATCTGTTGAGGTCCATTCCTAAGGCCTTCAGATCCTGCTTGCAGATGTCCTTGTATCGCAGCTGCAGTCTCCCTCTGGGGCGATTTCCTTATTACATTTATCTCAGCAATAACAAGAAACCATGGATTGTATATTCCAGTTATTTATGGGGGAAGGTGGGTTTATGTTGCAGCAGAAGAAATGAGACCTTTTTTGCCCCATGTACATGGCCATTTACATGGGGCTACAACAGAGCTTTGAGTCCTTGGCCTTGATGCATAGCGGCCTGTCTATAATACTGAGAGAGAAGATGGCTGACTGCTTAATAAGCAAAAGTGGTCTGTGTAGATAGTCCCTCCTATAAGAATCAGGCTCATTAATGCAGGACACAGTCCCTTCTTCCGGTCACTGGTGCTTTCTTCCTCTGTTCTGTCACGGGGTTTAACCATTTTTGAAGATGGTGTTGAGAAGCTTCAGATGATCTAGCAGTTGGTAGGAAATCTGCCTATTGGCTTACTAACAGTACAGGGTTCTAGGGTTGTAGGATTTGGGTTTGAATAAGACAGTGTGAGACCAATGAAGAGGGCTGCTGACAATTATCTTAATTTCTCAAACAATTCCCTTCATTTGTTTGAAAAACTGCAGATAAATGGCCCACCCAGACTTCCTACTCCACTCCTGTCCAAAGGCTGAATACCATGACTATTTTGACTTGGGATGCAGCAGCTCCGAACACGGATATTATGTTGCATTCAAACTAATCTCTCAGGTTCTTAAGTCAGTAAGTACTTGCCATATTCCTGTCTGTATCTATGTATCTATATGTTTTCTATCAACAGCGACGAGGAAACTGGAAAATGTTTTAGAAAAGGGAATCCCTTTGGGGTGGGGCTGGGAAAGGCATGTATTTTCTCCACTTTTGATGGGGATGATGATGAAGAAGAAGACGAAGGTGATGATGGTGAAGAAGAAGAAGAGGAGGAGGAGGAGGAGGAGAAGGAGGAGGAGTATCCTGGGCTGATGGTTGGGTGCAGATGTGCTATGCAAGCTCATGCCAGGCTACTTACCTGTTGGGGCCATGTGTAGATAAACATGCCAGCCCAAAACAAATCCTGCAAGGTAGACAACCTGCCACCATCCCATAAGCCAAGAACCAAAGCTGAGGGAATGGAGGGTTTTCTGGATGTCACAGTAGCTACTAGAAGAGCAAAGGCTGAAACCCACAAGCCTCCTGCTTTCCCAGAGTCTCAGGCAGAAACTAGCATTCAGAAGCAGTCACCAGAGGTGGACTGGAAGTAGTACAAGGAAGTTTCTATACTCAGGCATACACACACAGTCTGCAGAGAAGGAATCCCCCCCTCCCCCAGTCCCAATCTTTAGACAAAGGGTTAGCTAGTAATTACTATGTGCCTGTCCCCAAACATATTGCCTTCTTCTGAAGCACAAAATTTCTTTTTGGCTGTGGGGTTGGGGGAAGAAGCAACACAGAGACACAGCAACCTCTGCTAGGAAGCTGGGGTCATAATTTAGTTTATGCACTAGGTAGAAGAAGCCAATTAGTCAAATTAATAATTCTACTTGTTGAGCAGATGATTCTTCAGCTTGTAGCAATCTCTTAGAAAGCTGATGTCGAGAGAGTCCAAGGTGGTGTTGCAGGCAACCACTGATGGTATCTTACACAGCCTTGTTAATTTTCAGGACCTGAGCAGCATTTAATGGAAAAGACACTATTACTAGGAAAAGTGGGGAAGTAGGAATAGAGATCAACCTAATATGAGATGTTGTTTGTTTGCAACATCTGAGCAGAACTCTTAATGATTTGGCATTTTAGAGAAATGTTGTTTGTTTGCAACATCTGAGCAGAAGCGTTAATGATTTAGCATTTTAGAGAACATAGTCACCACACATCAGAAGGTTTTTTGTTTGTTTTTGATTTTTACTCTTTGTTAACTCATATAGTCACCACACATCAGAAGGTTTTTTTGTTTGTTTTTGTTTTTTACTCTTTGAAAAAAAAAACCTGTATTTTGACTGCTTCTATAACCTTTCATTGCCTTTGAAACATGTCCCTTCCTGGCCATGAAGCTACAGCAATATATCTACTTGGAAATGCTCCAGCTGGCAAGCCTGTTCTGTGCTTGCTCTGTTTCTAACAAAGTAATTGTTTTACCTTTTAAAGAGGTATTTTTGAGGATCAATATTTCAGCCCCTGCAGCCTCGATTCCTTTCAAATAAAACAAGTGTGTGGAGCCAACCATTCTCTTCCAAAATAAGCATTTTTCAATTTATCTGATCTGTTTCAAATTTGGGGATTTTAAGGTCACTTGTTTCTGCATGGGGAAAAACAATTTTACTTAAAAAAAATCATACTTCAAAAATCCTTTGCCCAGACCTCCCTATATCTAGAGCAAAACCAGCCTGACTGCTACATCTAATGTAGCTGCCAAATTTGGTGCTAATCTGAACACCAGTTTCAAAGTTATAATTTTTTGTTTGCAAGGCCCTCATTTTATAATTGCCTTTTAGAATGCTGATTTCCTCTGTTGCACAATCATATAACAGCACTCTCATTTGAAATCACCTGGGGTTCTTCTACAACATGATTTAAACTACTCTGGCCAGGAAGTCTGACAGATAGCAGTCAACCAGCAGAATCTCTGACCTGTCAAATATGGAAAAGAAATATTTTGATAAGGAAGACAGAACCCCTGGAGATTATACTGATACATCCCTTTCCCACTTTTAAGGCTAGTGGTACTTCACATATTCAGGTGAGCACAGATGGGAGCAGAGCCATAACTAGCTGTTTTGGCACCTGTAGCTTGGCTGCCTATTGGTGAAGCTTGGGTCATCAGAGACTGGCATATGAGGGGAGAGGATGGGAGAATTCATGGGTCTGAGTGCATGATGGCCACACTGGTTCCATGCTGAGCTTGCCTATTTGTATTTTCTTCTGGCCAAGAAAAAACAACGGGATGGTATACATGTTCAGGGTGGGCAGATCCACATGTGTTCAGTAGCAAACACCAGCACGTGGGTTTGTGCTTTTTTCAGCAAAAAAATGTTGACTTCTTTTAAATTTTGGTACTTCGGTCAAACCTTGCTTGCCCTGCCCTAGTTAGCTTTCTGTGTTGGCAGGATCCATTCCTTCTCATCCATCTAAACTAGCTTATCTTGTGTACACCTGGCAAAGCCATGGTTAAAGCTTGAATACTGTTGCCCAGACCTGGTCTTGACTTAGCCTCTTACCACATAATAAGGCGCAAGTAAGACTTCAAACATCACAGAACGAGCTAGAAATAAAGGATCTGAAGGAAAGGCTGAGATCAAGCACTGTATGCCTGATCTGTATGCCTTAAAAGCATCTGCCAGTAGGTGGCCTCTGAGAATGCAGATCGAGGCACCAATACTGGCAGCCCCAGGTGTAGAAAACGGTTGTTCTTAAAGGATAGAATTCCATCTGCTTTCCTCACCTCAGACGGGATGCACTCTCTGTTTCCAATGAGAAGGACAAGACGAGAACACTTTCTGATTTTCTGCCTCTGATTTCTCCCACCCTAACAGTATGAGAAGGATAGAATGTCTGCTGAAATCAAGCCCTTGACAGCTAGACATAGTACATCCGGAAGTGCAGAGAAACATGCTTTCTGACAGGGATGTTGTTCAAGTCCCCGGTCCGAGTCCCAAGGCTTAAGTCTGAGTCTCTATTAAAAAACAAGCCCCCCCCCCCCAGAATAAAGGGGGAGCGAGTGGGTGCGAAGTCATGAGTTGAGTCTAAGACATTGGGGGGGGGGAAATGAGTTGAGTCCAAGTCAATCTACCAGTGTGACCTAAGTCCAGCTTCACAGAGAGTCTCGTGACTTGAGTCCCCATCCTTTCTTTCTGAACACCAGCTGCTGTGAAACCTAGGCACAGGTACCCTGGCACTCTGCATTCCAGTGGAAAGCCTAGAGCATCAGCTGACAGCTCAGAATGATCCTTTTTCTGTTGTAAAACTGCATCCACTTGGCTCTACTAATAGTGGACAAACAGTCACACGGAGGGAAACAACTTTCCACGACTTTCCTAATTTGGCCTCCTTTTTTTTTCTCTTGCCATAATGGAATAGCCCCACCTCTGGAACTTCATAAGGTGTGTTCCCCCATCACTTGCCTGTACTGAGGAATAGGTAACAGGTGAAACAATACTATTGATTGATTGATAAATAAATGCTGCTGACAAAAAATTTTGTCTCCTTTTGTCATTTGAGTTATCTTTTTTAAAGGAAATTTTAACTTTATATATAAGCATCACAGGAGAAATTCATTTCAATAAATTCATTCATTTATTCCAACATTTTAGGGTTGAAAGAGGAGATAAATCCAAGATGGACTGCCATATGTAGAATTCATATGCTAAAGAAGAAGGCACATCATGTTCACAAAGACAACAACATAGACTTGTGTCAGCCTTTCTTAAAGCTCAGCACTTTGTTTCAAGCACCCGAGGATTTTAAGTTAAAACTAAAATCCACAGCCAGTAATAAAGGACCCTAGAAATTACTACTGATGTGCATTTCAGATTTTTTTTAGACCATATATCCCCAAATTCCTTCTCTGTCTGTCCCTGTCTCTTTCTCTCTGGAATCCCACCTACAGGACATAGACCTTACAAATACCTCAATTATTTTTATCTGGAGAGAAGGCCCAGCTAGAAGGCTTCATGCCTTGGATAAAGCTAAATTTCTACTTGAAAAGGAAGCCTCCCAGGAATCATTGAGGTAGTTTCCATTTCATACTGGAAGTTAGATCTATGCAAGGCATGAAGCCTGCCAGCTGGGCCTTCTCTCTAGATGAACATAATTTAGGCGTCTGTAAGATCTGTGTCCTGCAGGTGGGACTCTCAGAAAGGAGAATTATGGGATTTGTAGTTCAAAAAAATCTAAAACGCACATCCCTAGTAATTGCCATATAAATGTCTCTGAACTAGAGTCCTCCATGTTCTGGTCACTGTATAGATATCACCACCTTTCACATTCTTACTCAATCTTCTTGATGACTTAAAAACAACTGTGTTTTAATATCTGTGACTCTAAAGGTTCATGGGCACTTTGGCAGTGTATGTTCTTCATCCTGATAGAAATGGTCAGTTCTCTTCAGTGATAGACTTCATTTCTGCATGGTGGGAGCCTGAGTGTATGCCATTGTCCTGGACACGCTGCCGGAACAGGAAGGGAAAAACCTTTTTGAAGGACTTGCGGAAACTGTCTCCCATGAAAGCATAAACAATGGGGTTGAGGGAAGAGTTGAGATATGACATACAATTGGCCCATGTCTTGATTTTGTAGGTCTCATAGTTGGCTTGGAAATGGAGGTAGAAGCCTTGAAAGAGCAAGTAGAATTGGATAGGACCCCAGCAAATGGCAAACAGCAGCACAATCACCACAACCATCTTGGAAATCTTGGCCCGCATCGCAGCCGATCGCTCAGACAGATGGCGCACCTGCTGGGATTCAAGAGAACAGCATGGAAAATTGTTAGGGTTTTGGCAACAGTAGAATACGCAGAGTTATTGAAGACACTTTACCAGTTCTTCTTGTGTTGCAAGACAGTTGTATTTACACGTATTTACAGTTATATACAGGCAGGTATCTTAACAGCACAGCAGGAGCTCTTTATACAAACTGGCAGCATGCGTGGCAGCAAGTGATAGTGGAGGAAGAGAAAGAAGCAAACACACAGTCCACTTATATACACATACATGGCATATTTTGTCCAATCAGAAAACAGATGACTTCATGCTTTGCAGCTGGTCTTCTCCTGGTTTCAAGTCATTACATCATGTCCAGAGTGATTCAGCACTCTCACATCTGTGCACAATGGCAGCTCGTTAATGAAACACATATACACGTTCAGGCTTATAAAATTTCTATACTCTGACAAAAATATATCTACAGTAAAGAATGCGGTGTCGTTTGGAGTGAAGATTCTGCTTCCGTGATGGGGAAGAGGACTGCAGTGGCAGGACTTTGGAATTCATGGGGATAATAGGCAGTCATAGTTGCTTCATGTGCAACCACTAAATTCAGCTGTTCAGTGAAAAATGTGGCACATTGAGAATCCTAGGTTTCATATTTTGAAGACAAACATTTCTGGATTGTATGGCTTTGGGGAAGAGATTGCCAGTGCATGGGAAATCACTCACTATAGACAGATGGACAGATAAACGGATCTTTTTTATTAAAGGGAAAAAATTTATTTGTGGATACAGATAAGGAGTGAAAAAATGTTCATATTAAATTGTTTGCTAATATCATTACACAGAATTTATGTATGTTATAGGAATGTTTAAAATACTAGGGACTCCATTCATCAGGGAGTAATGACCATTCAAGACTTGTAGGAGACGTATGTTAATTTATCAATGTGGAGAGACATGGGAGAGTTGAACTTCTAGACCAGGGGTTCTCAACCTTGGGTCCCCAGATATTCCTGGACTACAATTTCCAGAATCCTTCACCTCTAGTTGTGCTAGAGGGAACCACTATTCTAGAGAATCAAGGACCATATATGCCCACCCCAGTCCTTTGAGAGCTATACATGTGTCTCTTATCTCTTCCCACCCAATATATATAACCCCCCCCCGTGTGTTACTGACAAAGCTGGCTCTTCCCCTTTTGTGACAATAAAAAGATGGGGCAGGAGGGAAAATGTGGTGGGCTCCCAAAACATGGTCAAACATCCCTCACTTTCTCCACAGGGCAGCAGGGGGATTTTTGAGCAAAACGCGGAGGTGGCGGGGGGGTGCTGGAGGGCTGTACTTTGATTACTTCTGGGATATATGTAAATCCTAGTAGTTCACATTTTGTAAGAATCCTCAACCTGTGGCGGTATGGCTTAGAAAATGTGGGTGCAGATCAAAAACTATGGTGTGCTTTCCCTAGGTATTGTATAAGTCTCCATGAATTCTCTCAGTTATGAAATATTTACTGAAAAGGCAAGAAAGTTAATGAAAGACTCTGCATTAGATATGATTTAGTATCAAAATACAATTGTGATTGTTATTAAATAACCATTTATTTGTAATGATAATTGAACCACCACCTACTATGCATGAGTTAAGAGCCTCTGTGTTGTCATGTTTGATCTAGTCACTTCCAACTTATAATGACTCTATGAATTAATGACTTCCTCAAGCTCTTGTCATTCGCAGTCCCCTCAGGTCTAGCAAACGAAAGGCGGTTGCGTCCTTTACTGAGTCAATCCATCTGATGCTAGGTCTTGTTCTTTTACATATTACCTTCTATTTTTCCTACTATTTTATCTTTTCTATTTAGTCTTCTCTTCTTATCAAATATCTGGACTACAATTGCCTCAGTTTACTCATTTTAGTTTCTAGTGAAAGCTCAGACTTAACTCAAACTTATTTCTCTTTCTGGCAATGTGCAGTATCTGTAAAATTCTCATATGTATGTATGTGTGTTATGTTCTGTTAGGTTGGAACCAACTTATAGTGACCCTCCCAGCATTTGCAAAGTCTATGAGATATGTAAGGTGTGGCTTTACCAGTGCTGCCCCACCCCTGTGAGTCCCCATGGCCAAGCAGGGATTCAAACCCAGGTCTCCTGAGTCCTAGTCTGTCACTCTAACCACACTGGATTTCTATCATCCAGCACTGCATTTCCAATGAACTGGGGTTTTTTTGGGGGGGGGGTGCTGTTTGTTTTTTCTGTTTTCTCTTTCAGCCTTTAAGAAAGCAAAAGCAAAGTGTGCTGCTTATATACTGACCCACAGTGTGGTATAGAAGAACTCTCTAGGTGGTTCGCAATATTCTTTTTTAATTACGCAGGCTACATATTTCCCCCTTCTCCACCCCTGGGGGCTGCATACTCATTTTACCGACCTCAGAAGGATGGAAGGCTGAATCCGTGTTGAGAATCCCTTGGTACTGAGCACTGAACATGAGCAGAGTTTTGGCTGCAATACTACAATTTAATCACGATGCCATGAGTGATTAAACCACAAAGAATCTGATCAGGATTCCTTGGACATACAAGGAATGGTTAATTTTTACATTATTCATTTCTTACTACATAGGAAGTCTGAGTGTCACTTAGATTATTACAATATATGTTTTTAATAGAAAAAATATTGAGCTCCATACATTATGTGATAGCTATAATGTTGGTGTCCTTTTAGTGCTGTAAGCCATGTTGGGTCCGTTTAAGGAGAAAGGCAGGGTAAACATTAAATAAATAAATAAATAAATAATAGCAGGGGTTCCCCAACCCCTCGGTCCATGGCCTTGGAAGGACCAGGCCACCGAGACAGATTTTTGAGGGCCAAAGGAATATGTGTATATATGCATATGCGCATCCAACTGCATTCCCACCCACCTATATGCACGCGTGCACACCCCATCCCCTGCACACATGCACGGATGCCCACCTACCTCCTGCATGCACATATGCATCCCCACCTGCCTCTGACATGACTGCCCACCCCCTCCCACCTCCCTCATGCATGCACAGATGCCTGCCCCCACGCCCCGGCACGCACGCATGCATGGATGCCCATCACCACCACCCCCGTCCTTGGGAGAATGGTCTTCAACTAAACTGGTCCCTGGTGTCAAAAAGGTTGGGACCACTGCTCTAGAGTGTCTTGGCAATGTCTGTGTGGGCCTGGTATTTAAATTTTTGCAATGTATTTTCGATATGCAAGAGACTCCCTAGATATTTTTTTAATTATCTGTATTTCAACAGTATCTATAAAATATAACAGGTGGATGGTTACACAGATAAGACTGATAGAAAAATGGACAAACAGACAGATGAGCAGGCAGACTGTTGTGATCACAAGAGCACTAGAAGTAGAGAAACAGAGTGACTTCAGTTTCTCTCCACCACCTTACCTGGTAGTCACGGTCCATGGGCTGCACCACAGGTCGTCCAATGCGCTTGAGCATGATGGAGTAGCAAAGGCAGATAGTGAGCAGGGGTAATAGGTAGACAGCCAGGAAAGTATACAGAATGAAGCTGCGCTCTTGTCTCTTGCTGATGAAAGCCTCAATGCAGTACGTGCGCAGCCCATACCAGTAACCCACCTCAGTACGATGGTACATAGCCATGGGTAAAGACAGAATGAAGGAACCTGTTGTGGAGGGCAGAGAAGTCGTCAGAGACACACAAGTCATATCCCTTTGAGGTAATAATGTCATAAATATTACAAATGATCAGCATTCTTGAGTAATGCATCTTCCAATTTCCCCTAAAGCTTGGGGTAAAATGTACTGCACTTTAGAAGATCCTTGCTGCCTAAATAGCCTGTTCAACAATCTTTACGTCCTGATTTTAAATTAATTTTGGTGTATAGTGTGGGCGGCATATAAATTAAATAAATAAATAGATAGATAGATAAATATAATTTTTTTTTAAAAAAAAAGAGTAATATTCGCTATGCAATAAGGTCTGTGAAGTCCTTTTTTACCCCAGCAAGGTCTCTGCAATATCTTGTTCCTCTGCAAAAACTGAGTTATGTAGTTACTGCTTTTGTTTACTACCAGCAAGGTTTCTGTGAAGATTCTCAGTCACCCAGGCGAGGTTATCTGAAAGTTGAGTCATGGCAACTGGACTTCTTTCTTGTTAGGTTGAAACGTTTTGCTATTCCTCCATGTATCTTCTTCAGTCTGAGTAGAGTTGGTAGGAGATCTCCGATATGTCCTCCACGTTGGTTTTACTTCCCCTTGCACTGAATAGGCTCATTGGAAGGTCAAAGGACTGACTGGGAGTGAGGGATAATCCCACTTCTGCAATCCTTCTCCACCCATTGTCATGGGTCCTTAACGGTCGTTAACAGTGGTCTTTTTGGGGTATGTGGTCCTAATCTTTCTGGGGAGGGATGAAAAGGCAGCATGATAAATAGGAGGCAGATTGTCTCTAAGGCTTCCACCCCTGTTGAGTGAGGGATTTTCTGTAGGCACATATATGGCCTCGCTGACCACTCTCTCAAACCACCTATCTTCTGGGTCCGGTCCAAAAATGAGTACATCTTAGTCATCAAATGAGGGTCCTTTGTCCTTCAAATGAAGGAACAGTGCTAATTATTGCACAATGTGCAATAATGCTTGTTTCATTCTTATAACCTATCTGACTTCTGCAGCTATTTTCTGTCAATATAATGTTTGAAAGTCAAATTAGGTTTTTCCATATTAAAACATCTCTCAAATTATATTCGGGTGTCTTTCTTATCATATTCACCAAAATGTAAATTAGGAGTGGTGCCGTACCCTGTACTCCTGGCATCACATACATTAAGGGGCCCCTCTTGCTGTGTTGTACTGTATATGGTCACTATCAAAAGGAGACCTAAGCATGTATAGTTGTGCGCACAAAGGTTCCCAAGTGATCTGAAGCCAAGGATTCCAGATCACATGGAGGCTTGCTTGCATGCATGCTTCTAGCTGTATGCACATAAGACTCTCTTGTGGATATGTTCATGCTGTCTTCTTAAATGCTGTGGTGAGATATGAGGCATATGTGATGTGTATGGTGTTAAGGTCAAGGCTAGGTGAGGCAGCCCCCCCCCAACTCTTGTATTGCTTGAAAACTATAGGAAGAGTGTCTGAATAAGGCTCTGTGCTCTTGCAAAAAACAACAAAAAAGAGAGAAAAAAAGAACAGCAACTTTGACAAGAAAGAATGAAGAGAAAGGCTGGTTACTTAGTAAGGAGTGTAGTGTTAGTCTTTCTGATTATGATGTTGCAATGAGTAAAGATGAGAAAGAACATTATTAGACTAAATGTATTTTAAAGGACCTCAAAATAAAAGTAGCCCAGAGACACAGAGATCGAAGAGAAGGAAATAAAGTGTGAACTCGATTCAGATGCACTGTATGTGAATACATACAATTTTAAAATGATGATCAGAATTGTAAATTGTTCAATAATTATAGTGAGAAATTCTTTTCAAGTTAGGTTTCACTGGCAAGCTCATGAAAATTCAGCTCACAAGAGGCAAACGACTTCATGGGTAGAACACCTCATTTAAGGGGGTTATGCAGTCTCACTCACCAATCCAGATGGCAATGCTGATAGCCATGGCTATCTGTGGAGTTCGATAGCGCAATGACTGCAGTGGGTACAGGGTGGCATAACAGCGGTCCACACTCATAGCCATCAGAGTGATGCACGTGGCCTGTACGGTCACCTGGTGAGATGACAAAGGTAAGTGGTTAAGGAATTTGAAGGTAAAAAGCCAAGTGTGATGAAGGTAAAAAGACAGTGAACAAGTTAATTATGCAGCTGCACTTTGCCCCCCCTCCCCCAACAAGCTGAGTAGTCCATTTATCAACCTTGGAAGGATGAAATACTGAGTGAATTTTGAGCTGGCTACCCAGGATTGAACCCACGTAGTGAGCCGAGTTTTGGCTGCAGCACTGCAGTTTACCCACTGCACCACTGAAATACTGAGTGAATTTTGAGCTGGCTACCCAGGATTGAACCCATGTAGTGAGCCAAGTTTTGGCTGCAGCACTGCAGTTTAACCACTGCACCAGAAGACTCTCTAGGCCTTGGGGAAAATGTGAATTCCCTATGCTGTTTGACCTTTGCTGTTCCCACATTGCAATATGCCTAGACAATGCTAGTCGGTTAAGACCACTCTAGGTGGCTCCACTTTGCTGTTCCCACATCGCAATATGCCTAGACAATCAGGCATGCAAATTCAGCTTATGTTTACCTTCCAGTGGCCAATCAAAACACACTGGAATGCAAGATATGGACTTAAGGAAAGACATCTTTCACCACTGCAACTCTTATACGTTCAGAGTAAACATATGATTTCATTTGACCTGAAGTTGTTACCCATTAATAAATCAAAACACACTGGAATGCAAGATATGGAGTTAAGGAAAGACATCTTTCACCACTGCAATGAGCAACTCTTATACGTTTAGAGTAAACATATGATCTCATTTGACCTGAAGTGCCAGGGCGTGGACTCACCTCCATTACTATCTCCATGCAAGAACTGGAGGTTGTTCATGAATTTGTGTACCTTGGCTCAACAATCTCTGACACTCTCTCCCTAGATGTCGAGCTGGATAAACGCATTGGGAAAGCAGCTACCATGTTCTCTAGACTCACAAAGAGAGTATGGCTTAA